ACAGGGGAGGAAATGAGTGCAGGTGTGTGTGTGTGTGTGTGTGTGTGTGTGTTGGGGGCGTAGAAGGCCTTCGGGAAGACATCCACAGGCTAGCACAGGGGGGACAAGGACGCCCTCAGGCCTCCGCCGCCTCGCTGAGCACTCTTTGTGGAGATGGTCTCACTGGTGGAGCCCATTGGTGGCTCCCAGGCGCTGGCACCAAGGGCTGTCCCCTCAGCCTGCCCCCAGCACTCCCTGTGACTTGCTGTTTCCTCCCTTCTCAGACCCGTACCCCAGCCATGTGGCACCATTCGCTGCCCCATGCTCTCCCCTCTGGTCCCTGGTCAGGCCACTCCCTCCTCCTGGAATGCCCTTCCCTGCTTTGCTCAGCCTGACCCCCACCCTCTGTGCCCAACAGGATGCCCTCCCCGGCTGCAGCCGGGCTCCTCTTTGCTCCCGTGCGCTGCACAGATGTCTAGCAGGCACCCGAGACTCCTCAGGACCTGAGAGGGGTCTGTGTCAGATGCCCACCCCAGCGGGGAGCTCCAGCAGCCCCGCAGCAGACCCGCTGGGTCTCAGAGGCTCAGGAGGTTGCGTGGGTGCACGGGGGGACTAGACAGAGGATGGACGGGTGGGAAGTCAAGCTGGGCAGACACAGAAAGAGGCAATGTCCAGGGGTAAAAGGAGCTGTTGCCTAGGAAACCAGGAGCTGTCCTGCTCACTGGCCCGTGACCTTGGTCCAGTCACTACTCCCCTTTCCCTCTGAACCCCAGTCTGCCACCGACACAGCAGAGGGACGAGGGGTAGGGTGCCTGGCCGCTGACCCCCAGATCCGCTAGTTCCCCTGCTGACTCCACAGTGGGAGCATCACCCCCTGTCTGAACATGTGGGTCCACTTAGCTCCCGGATACAGCGATGGAGCAGAGCGTCCAGGGTCAGAGGAGGCCTGGAAAACAAGGGGAGCAGGGAGGTGGCCTCCCCGGAGGAGACTGGCTTGGGCAGCTGCTCAGAAAACTGTTTGCTCCTGGCCTTCTCCCCACCACCACTGAACTGGGCAATCTGGAGGCTGAGGTCTTGGCCAACCCTGGAGAAGCCAGGGCTGGATGGATGGCACCACTGGCTTCCCCTTTCCCCCTTCGTGCCTTCCAGGCCTCCCACACCCCATGCCGTGCTCCCCTCGCCCTACCAGACTCCTGCTTCATTTCCCATCCAGTTATCTGTTGTTCAATTTTTCTTCTATTGTGGTAAAATATCCAGAACCTAAAACTTGTTATCTTAACTGTTTTGAAGTGTGCAATTCAGTGGTATTAAGTACACTCGTAATGTTGTGCAACCATCACCATCTTCCGTCTTCATAACCCTTTGCATGGTGTAAAACAAACTTGACACATTAGCTGTGTGTCTGTTACATCTGCTTGGTTTATTAGGCTGTCCAGGCCCTCTGTTTCTTCCATCACCCTCTGTCTGGTTGTTCTATCCATTATTATTAATGTTTTCTTTATTATTTTTGGTTTAATACTTTTTTAAAAAAAAGAGACTTCTTTAATTGCAAGTCAGAGTTAGAGGGAGAGAGAGAGAGAGAGAGAGAGAGAGAGAGAGAGAGAGAAATGATCTTCCATTTACTGGTTTACTCCCCAGGTGGCCACAACAGCTGGGGCTGGGCCAGGCCAAAGCCAGGAGCTTCTTCCAGGTCTCCCATGTGGGTGCAGGGGCCCAAGGACTTGGGCCATCTTCTACTGCTTTTCCTGGGCCACAGCAGAGAGCTGGACCAGAAATGAAGCAGCCACAATGCTGGTCTCTGTTCTATCCATTATTCAGAGAGGAGTATTGAAATTTCCACCTATTATTGAGGAACATGTGTTTCTGTCTTCAATTCTGTCAACATTTATTTCATATAGTGTGATGATTTCTTACTGGGTGTGTACATTCTTGTAGTTATTCTATTTTTTCTTGCTGTATTGAACCTTTTGTGAATACATAATGTCCTTCTTTGTGTGTTGTGACCTTTTGTAGTTAAAGGCCACTTTGGCAGATATTAACATCACTGCCTAAGTTCTCTTTTGGTTCCTCTATGCATGGAATATCTCGTCCTGTTCTTTCACTTTCAACCTATTTGTGTATTTGGATCTAAAGCAAATGTCTTATAGGGAGTGTAGACTTTGGATCTTGTGTTTTTATCCATTCTGCCAACCTTTGTCTTGACTGGAGAATTTAACCCATTTACATTTAAAGTCATTACTGGTGAGGCATTCAGCTCTGTCATTTTGTTATTTGTTTTCTATATGCTGTACAGTGTTTTCATTCCTCACTTCTGTATCACTGTCTCCTTTTGTGTTCAGTTGATTTTTTTGGCAGCAAAACATGTAATTCCTCTCTCATTTCTTTTTGTATATATTCTATAGCTATTTTCTTTGTGGTTACCATGGGGACTACATTTTATACCCTAAAGTTGTAAATTCTAATTTGCATTTATACCAGCTTAATTTCTTTTTTTTTTTTTTAATTTGACAGGTAGAGTTATAGACAGTGAGAGGGAGAGACAGAGAGAAAGGTCTTCTTTCCGTTAGTTCACTCCCCAAATGGCTGCTACAGTCAGCACTGCACCGATCTGAAGCCAGGAACCAGGTGCTTCCTCCTGGTCTCCCATGTGGGTGCAGGGGCCCAAGCACTTGGATCATCTTCTACTGCTTTCCCGGGCCACAGCAAAGAGCTGGACTGGAAGAGGAGCAACCGGGACTAGAACCGGCACCCATATGGGATGCCGGTGCTGCAGGTGGAGGATTAACCAAGTGAGTCACAGCGCTGGCCCCCAGCTTAATTTCAGTAACATACACAACTCTGTTCCTTTAACAGTTCCCTCCCGACACGTATAAGTCATTGATGTCACAAAATTACAGCTTGATTCATCATGTGCCCCGACTAGAACTATTCTTTTAAATATTCATCTCTTAAATTAAGTGAAAAACAAAGAGTCGAGTTACACGTAAGAGTTACAATGATACTTATTTTTACAATTGCCTGCGCACTTAGCTCTGTTGAGACCTTTATTTCATCACAGTGCTGCAGGCTACTGGCTAGCGTCCCTTCATTTCATTCTTTTTTTTTTTTTTTTTAACAGGCAGAGTGGACAATGAGAGAGACAGAGAGAAAGGTCTTCCTTTTGCTGTTGGTTCACCCTCCAATGGCTGCTAAGGCCAGCATGCTGTGGCCGGCGCACCGCGCTGATCCGATGGCAGGAGCCAGGTGCTTCTCCTGGTCTCCCATGGGGTGCAGGGCCCAAGGACTTGGGCCATCCTCCACTGCACTCCCTGGCCACAGCAGAGAGCTGGCCTGGAAGAGGGGCAACCGGGAAAGAATCCGGCGCCCCGACCGGGACTAGAACCCGGTGTGCCGGTGCCGCAAGGCGGAGGATTAGCCTAGCGAGCCGCGGCGCCGGCCTTTCATTTCATTCGCAAGACCCGTGCACAGAATCCGGGAGTTATCACAGGGAGCCAGCGGAAGTTCTCTCATTTCTGAGTCTCAGTTTCCCCATCTATAGAAGGGGACTGGTAGCCAAATACCTAAAAATCTGTTAAAAAGTTTTAAAAATGGGAACACGACGGGAGGAATGTGCCACCTGAAGGGGTTCTGCCTGTCCCCCGTCCTCATACCGACACCAGAATCACCAGGGAAGCTTTTAAAAGCGCAGCATGGCACACACACATACACACACACAGTCACACTCACACACAAACACACTGCAGACATGCAGGACTGGCAGGGCAGCTGGAGACACATTTCTTTTCCTCCCAATCTTCTTTTCCATTATTTCCCCCGTGGTCCTGCGCTCTATTAACTTCACCCTGCCAGCTTCTGCCAGCTGAGGAGAAGAGAATGCAGCAGGAAAAACCCCACTGCGCTAGTTAACTAGTTGAGGTCCGGGGTGGGGCACAAGTGGTGCATTGGACTCGGGGTGGATTCTGGCCTGACTTTGGCAGCTATGGTGGGGAAGAGAGAAAGGAAGATCTGGCCAGCGCCGCGGCTCACTAGACTGATCCTCCGCCTTGCGGCGCCGGCACACCGGGTTCTAGTCCCAGTCGGGGCGCCGGATTCTGTCCTGGTTGCCCCTCTTCCAGGCCAGCTCTCTGCTGTGGCCCAGGAGTGTAGTGGAGGATGGCCCAAGTCCTTGGGCTCTGCATCCCATGGGAGACCAGGATAAGTACCTGGCTCCTGCCATCGGATCAGCGCGGTGCGCCAGCCGCAGCGGCCATTGGAGGGTGAACCAACGGCAAAGGAAGACCTTTCTCTCTGTCTCTCTCTCTCACTGTCCACTCTGCCTGTCAAAAAAGAAAGAAAGGAAGGAAGATCTTTCTCCAACCCTGGGAAGTGAGCAAACAGCCAGAGGGAGTGACGATGCCTTTTAACTTCCGTTTGAAAGTTGTGCAAGCAAAGTGGTTCTGAGCCAATCTCCTTCAGCTGCAGGATGACTGGTCCTTGGGTTAACTGAAAGCACCCAGCTCCCTAGAGCTGAGGGGGCTGGGGTGGGGGTGGGGAACGGCCGGCCCCAGGCCACATAAGGCCAGCAGAATCATTCGGTCTGGCTCTGCCAAGGCAACTGCAGTCAGACTTGAAATTGAATAACCCGATAGCAGGCTAATGTTTAAGCTGAAACTGTGTGCAACCCACGAATGATGTTCTAAATACCCAAACAAGAAAGGCTCCCCCCTACCCACCGCATCTGTACCTATTCATCGGATCTTCCCAGCACCCCTGGGAGGCTGAGCTTCTTACTTACACCTCTTTTACAGGTAGGGCCGCCGAGGCTCGGGGAGGTGGTGACTTGCACCTGGCATCTCGAGCTTCCCAGACCTTTCTGCCACACCACACTCAGCTGTGGGTGGGGGCCGTACAATAGCCAAAAGAAAACTGGGGCCCAGACCGCTGTGGTCGCTCTGGAGAGAACGTGCTGGTAATCTCTGGCAGATCTCTCACGCTCTCTGGGCCTCCCCGCCGTTGATTTACGGTGGCTGATGTCAGCACTGAGTGATACAATGATTTTTTTTTTTAAGATTTATTTATTTATGTGAAAGAGTTACAGAGAGAGGTAGAGACAGAGAGAGAGGTCTTCTATCCGCTGGTTCACTCCCCAGATGTCCGCAACGGCCAGAGCTGCGCCGATCCAAAGCCAGGAGCTTCTTCTGAGTCTCCCACGTGGGTACAGGGACCCAAGGACCGAGGCCATCTTCTACTGCCTTCCCAGGCCATAGCAGAGAGCTGGATCAGAAGAGGAGCTGGGACTAGAACCAGCGCCCATATGGGATGCCAGCGCTTCAGGCCAGGGCATTAACCCGCTGTGCCACAGCGCCGGCCCCAGTGATACAATGATCTTAAAGGTGTCCAGCGCGGTCCCTGGCCAGGCAGAGCAGCCACGCTGACGGTGCAAAGAGGGCAAATGGTGAAAATCACAATGAGGGCTTCTCTGTAAGGGTCCCGGCAGCACAGCAGGAGGAGGGGTCAACTCTGCCAGACTGAGGACTTCCCGGAGGAGGAGACTCTGGAAAGAGGATTGAAGACGGCAGAGGCACCCCCATTCCTCCTTATTCCCGTGTGACTAGAGTCCCAGAGCTTGGGCTGTGTAATAGTGGTGGCCAGAAGGGATACTGAGGAGGCCGGGAGAGAGGGCGAACCACATGGGGCCTTGCATGCCAAGCTAAGGAGTTTGGCTTCTGCCAAAGTTTTAAGCGGGCAAGTGTTGTGATCCATTATACAGATCTGCAGCTTAGAACGGGTCACTCTTGTTACATGACAGTGTGGACGGGAGACAGGAGAGGGGAGCAGAGGCAGAGACAGCGACAAGAGACACAGTGAAGGGGGAGGCAGTAAAGTTAACAGAACCCCTCCCCCCAGGCCCCTGGAGGCCACCTGCCAGGTGAGGGCAATCCAGCGAAATGATAGATGTGGAAGTGCACGGGAGCTGCTGCCGGCCAGCAGCCAGTGTGGAAGGGCACTTAGCCGGTTCCTGAGAATGGAGGGGCCCGTTCCAGGGGCCTGGTGCCCACAGCCCTGCACACCTGGGCAGCCGCCTCCCAGACAGCCAGGAAGCTGAGCAGTCTTTAGCTACAGCTGCTGGGTGCTGAGACCCAGCCCTCCACACCCAGGCAAGGCTACCCAGTGCTGGAACCTGAGCCCGTCCAAGTCCATGTGTGGCCCTCACTCCTTGCCCTGGGAGGAAGGATCTGGCCCCGCCCCTGCCACCGCCCCAGGTTCCAAGTAGACCAAGGTTGAATGCCAGCAGCGCCTTTATTAAGCTTGACCGTGCAGAGGACACTGGGTGTAAAGAGCCGGAGGTACCGTTCCCAAAGCCGGTTGATGAGGGGCCAGTGGAGTTCTCACCCCCACACAGGTAAGACAGGTGCCCGCCCTCCCAGCCCCCTGACAAGGGTGCCCAGGCAAGTCCCCATGACCACACAGGGACCAGGAGGCCGCAGACTTGACTATGAGGGTGCCGGCTTCCCTCCTCCCAGGCAGGCAGCCAGACACAGCAACTCTTCTTAATTAAAAAGAGAAAGAAAAGTAGTAAGGAAAGCAGGAGCAGAGAGACTGAGCCAAACAAGTCTGGGCCACGGGGGTGGGGGGGGCAAAGTCTCCCCCCAGCGCTCTGTAAAGTGCAGAAGTTCCTGGGAGGTCTACACGGTGCCCTCCCCCCCAGGTCTCTCCCCTGCCAAGGTGGGCTGTGGTCTGGCTTTGTAGACAGGGACACACACACACACAGGCACCCAGCTTGCACCTTCCAGGAAATGCATCCCCTAGGTGATTTCTGCCCCCAAATCCCTACTGTAAACTGTCTTAGATGCTTTCCTGACCCTAGAAGCTTTTTTAATGTTTTTTTTGTTTTTTTTGTTTTTTGGGACAGTGAGAGAGAGAGACAGAGAGAAAGGTCTTCCTTTGCCATTGGTTCACCCTCCAATGGCCGCCGCGGCCGGCGCGCTGCGGCCGGCGCACCGCGCTGATCCGATGGCAGGAGCCAGGAGCCAGGTGCTTTTCCTGGTCTCCCATGGGGTGCAGGGCCCAAGCACCTGGGCCATCCTCCACTGCACTCCCTGGCCACAGCAGAGGGCTGGCCTGGAAGAGGGGCAACCGGGACAGAATCCGGCGCCCCGACCGGGACTAGAACCCGGTGTGCCGGCGCCGCTAGGCGGAGGATTAGCCTAGTGAGCCGCGGCGCCGGCCGCTTTCCTGACCTTTTTTTTCCCCCTGCATAAGCAGGAGTACAGGAGGATGGCCTGGGAGGGAGGGAGAGACTTAAACTTGTGTGGGGTGCACACAGCAGCTTCTCATCTGAGACAGCCAGCCACAAGTCCACGGTTTCCTGCAGAAAAATTTCTCTCCTGCCCTGCCTGAGCCGGGCTCTCCCCTCTCGCCTCTCCGGAGTTGGTCTTTGCCTACTCTGATTCTCCGTCTCTCTCTAACGTTTCTGGACTTCTTTACACTCTTTAAAAGAAAGGGAGGGGTGAACCCCAGGAAAGGGAAACCCTCACTCACCCATCTCTTTCTCACCAACAAGTCCCTCCTCTCTCTCTCTCTCTCCCTCTCCCTCGCCAGCGACCTCCAGATGTTCCCGACGGAGCGGCCATCTGCTGAGACTGCTCGGGCGCGCAGGGGGAGGGGCAGGGGTTCGGGATGCAGGAAGCCGGGAGTGAGGCGGCCTGGAGAGGGCGGGCGCTGCGCACTTTTGAGACGCTCCCTCGGGTGGAACCCGGGCTCGGAGCGGGCTCAGCCGGCGGGCGGGGGGCGGGGCGGGCGGGGAGCGCGCGGCGGAACGCCGGCACTTTGGCGACGCTCCCTAGCCGCGCGGCCGCCCGGCGGAGCCGCCACTGGGCGCCCGGCAGGGGGGAGCCCGGCGGCGGGCGGGGACCGGGGGGCGGGCCGCGCGGCGCGGAGAAAAGAGCCGGCCCCGGGGCCCGCGGCCGGGCCGCCTGGGTGAGCGTGCCGAGGCGGCGGCTGCGCAGCCTTCCAGGTGGGTGCGGGTCCCCGGGCGCAGCGGGAGTCGGCGCCGTGGGCAGGGGCCGAGCCGCGGACCCCAGCCACCCCCGCCGCTCCAACGGACGGGCGGGCGGCGCCAGGCACAGGGGCGGGGCGGGGTCCCGCCGAGGCCCCTCAACTTTTCCTGGACCCCGGGCCATGGCACGGAGGGGGAAACCCGGACCGAGGGGAGAGGGCTTCCAGGAGACAAAGGCTCTGCCCTGGGCCGTGGGAGTGGGCGGGCGCCTGGGGGGGTCTTTGTGGCGACACGTGCATCCCGCGGGTGTGGGTCTTTGTGGACTGGGGTTCGGGACGGTCATCTGCCCGTGCCTTTGTGTGTCCGGGCTGTGCGCCGGCGTTCGGCGGTGGGTGTCGTGGGCGCGCCGCCGCGTGTCCCTGTACGTGGTCCGTGCTGTCTACGTGTCTGGGCTGGGTGTCCGTGGGGTGTGTGCGCGCCCGGAGCCAGCGCCGCCGCAGCTGCTCGCCCCCTGCTGTCGGCCCGGCCCCCGACTTGGCTCAAACTTTTCCCCGGGCTCCCCGCGCGGCCGCCCGCCCCTCTTTAGCCTCCTGAGGTCCTCGGGGCAGAGAGCCAGTGGGATGGGACGAGGAGGGGGAATCGGTCGGTCCTGGGCCCCCGCCAGGGCTGGGAGGAGCGTGCCGGACCTGACTGGGAGCAGGAGGGACGCGGCTGGTCCTGGGCTCGGACCTGAGCTGGAGAGAGGAGGGGACAGGGCAGCCAGCGTCGCCCGCCCAGCTTCTCGGAGAGAGTATGTGACCGAGAGAAACGGGGCGGCTCGGCGTGGAGAGCGGCTCCCCTCTGCGGTCCGCGCTGCAACCACTTGCACCCCGACCCGGGTCGGTCGGCGAGAAGACAACTGCTGGTCTGGATCCGGGCTTGCAGGACCCCGAGCTGGGCCGCGGGGCCTGCGAACCTCACACACACTGGCTTCGAGTGGGACGGGCAGGGTCGCACTATTGGCCGCTGGGCGCGATGCCCGGCCTGGCCGAGTCGCGGCGACCCTGCCCCCCGGGGTGGGGGGGACTGGGTGAGCACGCCCTCACCGCGCTGGGGATAGCCTGCGCTGCCCGAGCCGCGAGCGGCGGAGAGCAGTGCCCGCCCACACTTGGCCCGGGAGGCCGGGAGGTGGTGACTGAGGAACTTCTCCGGACCTTCCTGGCTCCACGCTCTGCCTCTGGGATACGTTGAGACTTGCAGGGCCCGGGCCGGGAGGGCTGGGAGCTAGAGGCTGGAGTCTGCTGGGCTTTGATCTGGGGTTAAAAAGATAACCCTGACACCTTCCCCCCACCCCAGCCCGTCTTTAACCAAGGACTCTAGGAAGGCTGCGGTCAGGAGGGAGGGGCAAAGGCCACTTGCCTGGAGAGGTGGGTGCTCTGCTGTCCTTCTCTCTGCCTGAGTTTCTCTCCTGGGAGGAGAGGGTGGGGGGGGGCCTGTCTCCTCCCTTCCTGTTCTGGTTGACCCGGTAATTGGCACCTCCAGAGTGACCTCTACCCCCTCCCCAGGAAAGGCAAAAGCTGCTGAGTTCCAAATGGAGGGAGTTGAAGGGACCGCCACCCTCCCCCAACCCCACCTTTTAAATGACAGGTTGTGAGTGGCTAGAGTCCAAATCAGCTCTCTTCGTAATCATGACTTGTGATTCAAAGCAGGGGATGCACTTGGAGTCCACCCATCCTTTCTCAGGGAAGGCTGGGCTGGGCACCGAGGGTACTTATTAAAGACTGCGGGGGGGGGGGCGGTGCCATGGTGTACTGGGTAAAGGGGTGGCCAGGGGTGCTGGCCTCGCGTATGATCACCGGTTCTTGTCCTGGCTGCTCCACTTCCAATCCAGCTCCTGCTGAATGGCCTGGGGAAAGCCCTGGAAGATGGCCCAGGTGCTTGGGCCCTGCCACCAACATGGGGGACCCGAGGAGGCTCCTGGCCAAGCCTGGTCGTTGTGGCTATTTGGGGAGTTACCAGTGGATGAAGGAAGATCTCTCTCTCTCTTTGTTTCTCTCTTTCTCTCTCTTTCTCTAATTCTGCTTTTCAACTAAATAAATAAATCTTTTTTTTTTTTTTAAGAAAAAATAGGAGTGTTGGTCCCCCTGGAAGCCCCCAGCCACAGGACGCACAAGGAGGCAGGAAGGGGCCCGGACAGAGGGGCAAGCGCAGGATTGTGTGTGTTGTGAAGACAGCACAGAGGTGGGCAGCACGGTGGGCTGTCAGGTGCCCGGTCCTGGGGGTGGGAGGGGAGGTGGGGGCTGAATTGCCCCAGATCGCGAGGAGCTGGCATTTGAACTAGGGCTGTGGAGAGCAGCTGCAGGCTTTAACCAGGCGCTGAGGGTGGGACTGGTCGTTCTAGGACACCGGCCTCTGCCTTGTGGGTGGCGCTGGCGGCTGAGCGAAGTAGCCTCTGAGTTAAAAGGACTGGGTTTTCCTCCCGCTCCGTTGCCATCTAACTCCTTGGCTGGGCTGAGTAGCTTTACCTGTCTCATTCTCAGCCTCTTCCTCCCTCGAGTGAGGATGCTCGTCTGCACCGCGGCGCTGTCGGAGCTGTGAGAAAGGCTGAGGAGTGACAGATGAGAAGTGGTTTGTGGTTTGTGGTTTGTGTCACGTCCCGCAGACATTTGCTAGGTGGCACTGACAGTAGAAGGCACGGCCGGCATCTGCTCTGGTCCTGAACCGGATTTCCCTACCTGGCAAAACCCTAAGTATTGCAAGTGTTCTGGGCAGAAGGAAGCTTTGTGGCCGTGACATTGCAGTCATCTGGTTTACCCCATCCCATGCCCAGGTCCTGAGCAGAACAGGAGCTGGACACTGATTTGAAGACAGTGACACACCACGAAATGGTCTGAAACCTTGACCGGGGCAGCTGCAGGGCCCCGGGAGCTCATGGGGACAGAGAGCCTTCGCTGGGTGAGGGGCCGGTGAGAGGGAGAAGGCTTCCGAGAAGAGAGAGTTTGGTGGACAGAGGAGAGGGGACCTTTGTCGTCTTTGTCAGAGGGAACAGCCTGTGCGAAAGCAGGGGCCCTAGTGGGGGTGACAGGCCTCTGGACTGGGAGGCTCTGTGTGGCCCAGACTTTAAACAGGGAGCAGTGGTGGAGTCCTGGTCTTCTGGTGGGGGGTGCGCTCTGCTGCCACACTGGCTGCCAGTTGGAGGCAGGTGCCAGGGTGCCGTGCTGGCCTCCCAAGCCCACCCTGGGCAGGTGCATCGACCGCCCCACTGGGGGACGAGGAGGAGCAAGCCAGTGAGCCACCAGCTCCTCTTCCTGCTGTCCTGGGCAACATGGCTGCTTCGGCCGCTCTGGTCCCTGTGAGCCTTCAGCTGCCCCTCGCCTCACCAGCCTCCTGGGAGTGCTAGCCAACACTGGGAGCCCAGGCCAGGCCCTGGCTGGGATGCATTTTCCATTCTGCATCGTCCTCTGCCCCTGCTGTGCCTTAGCACCTGCTGGTGGCACATGAGACCACCCTGAGGGAGCAGACACCGACCTGCAGTAAGCACCAGGGGTGGCAGGCCCAGCGCCGAGTCCTTGTCTCTTTACCTTGTGTCCGCATCACGGAGACCCCCTGGCAGCAGTACCAGGGTTCCCACCGTGTCGCAGAGCGGGGTGCGCCGAGACTCAGGGATGAGGACACACACCCTATGCATTGGAGCCCAGCACGCCTGGCTGCAAGAGTCTCCCCCTGCCCGCCCCGTGCTGCCCCCACCTGTGCCCACACATGCTGCCTCCAAAGAATGGCACTTGCCAAGCTCCCAGAGGAGGAGGTGTTGGAAGGGGGAAGTAACACCAGGAGCCTTGCCTGTCTCCTGACAGATTATCCCCCTGGGACAAGGTTGCTGGCCTTCCAGGCTTCTCCTACCCCAGAAACCTGGGTCCTGAGCCCAGCCCCTGCCCTTGGTGGCTGGCTGTGTGTCTCTGGTCAGATCACTGAACCTCTCTGGGCATCTTCACACTGCACTAACTTAGGGATGGGGCCGTCTAACCTGCTGATCTCGCAGGGTGGCCAAACAGGTGACGGGGGCTTGGCAGAGGGTGAGAGAAGCAGCCTCCCACATGCCTGGTGTGTGTGCATATGCTCTCTGCCCTGGGCCAGGCCCAGTGCTCGGCTCCAGGGCCGTAAAGGTGAATCCAAACCCCACCCCCACCCCCAGCGGGCAGGCAGGTAAACCTGTAATTGCAGTCCGGCATGGCCAGCTCAAAGGTGTCGACCACACATGCCCACTTGTAAGTGGAGGCAGAGCAGTCTAAGGGGTCCTGGCTTTGGAGCCGAGACGCCTGGGCATGAGTCCTGTTTCCTATCCTCCCCAGCTGAATAACGTCCATCCCTTGCTGGTCTGCACATTAGGGGCCCTAGTGGCCCAGTCCTGGGTTATGGCAAGGCAGGATCAAGATGGTGGTGGGGGCGTGGTGAGCTGCTGCCTGCGTCCAGATGTGCGGCGTTAGTGTAGCTGCTGGGGGAGCCGGCCCTCGAGGTGCCTTGTGTTTCTGCCTTGCGTTCGCAGAGCTGACTAAGGGGTTGGAGGCAGGCCGTTGATGCAATCCCACCCGGGGATTCCGCTGGCGTCAGTGTGGGTGAGCTCATGACGGAGGGGCGTGGGGCGGCTGGCCTTGAGGAGCAGCTGGGCAGGCCAAGGCCTGTCTCAGGTGGCTGCTGCAGCCCCTGGCCTCCTCCCCACCTGGCTCCTGTGCCAGGGGCTCTCTGTTAAAGCTGTTGGAGGAAGCTGGAAAGTTCTGTGGGCCTGAGGTGCTGGGCGGTGGCACCAAGGGCAGGCAGCAGGGGCCAGGGAGGCCTGAGCTGGAACCCCAGGCCCTTGGGGAGGTGTCCTTGGAGGAAGAGGAGAGAAGGAGGAGGGAGATTGTGGGCTTGGTGACAGGCACAAACAAAGTGACTGGAGATTGTTGGCACAAGCTGGGAGCCTGGGCCTGCACTGGGAGCCTGGGTGGGAGGAGTGTGAAAGTGTCATGGTCACGGCCTTCAGGAAGCTGAATAAGCGAGCGCCGTGGTCCTGCCACCCGGGGAGCACTTGGCACGCAACCGACACCGAGCCGCATGCCTTGCTCCTGCCGTTTCATCCTGGGGACAGCCCTGGGTTCTGCTCCCCGTCGAGGACCCTGAGACTCAGCAGGGCTGGGACTTGCTGGAGGCTCGGTACCACGTTCGTGCCCGTGCCTGCCACGCCTGGCTTGGACCCCAGCTCAGGGAAGGCACACAGGTGAAGAAGGCGGGGCCCCACCCCACGCTGCTCACCCGTCAGGGACTTGGCCTGTGGCGTGAGAGGCCAGGGCTGGCCCAGGAGCGGGTGTGGGCAGAGGGGATCTGCATGGGCCCAGCCGCGGCGCAGGGGGTCAGCTCCCAGCTTCCTGGCCTGCTCTGCCACTTCCTTGGCACCCCATGCCCCTCTGGGCCTCAGTCAGCTGTGGCCTCCACGGAGCCTGTGATGCGAGCAGAGGCTGGCGGGTGAGGGTACCCCCCCTCCCCTTGACCACCAAGCAGGGTCTAAATCCAGATGGGGGCTTAGGTCTGGGAGGAAGGTAGGGACAGCTTGCAGGTGCATCGGTGCTGGTTAAACAGAACCCGAGGCGCCTTTGATCAGGGCAGCTGTCTCGTGGCAGAGAGCCCTGCCCATGCTCCCAGGCCGTCAGCACACTTTGCCTAGAGTCACTGTGGACTTGTCACCTGGAGAACCCCGGGCGACGTCGCTGCTCCTGCCCGCAGGTTCTGCCGGATCCACCGGATCAGTGCGTCGGGGGAAAGTGAGGAACTATGACCCCGGACCCCTTTTCTCCCTTGGCCTTCTGCGGGGGCCGCCCATCTCTTTTCTCCGCGCAGTCTGCGGCCGGGGGAAGCGCTGTTAGTGCTGTCCACAGAGGAGAGAGCCCAGGCTCGGACGAGTGCACACAGCTGTGAAGGGCGCCCAGAGCGGCGGCCCTGGCCTCCTGGGTCCAGGCATGTACGTGCTCTTGTGCCTTTGTGCCTGCCCACATTGCTGGTCTGGGCTCCAGCCCTGCCTCCCCCCACCCCACCCCTTCCCGTGGCCTTGTCCAGTGTTTGGTACATAGTAGCAGCATATTAAATGTTTTTGTGAATTTTTTAAAATCCTGAAACTCTGGAGTTGGATTATCTAGACTGAACCGTTTACCGTGAAGCTGGGGAAGCCGAGGCTAACAGAGGGCTGGGGACTCGTCCAGGGATGGGACAGAGTGGGAAGAAGACCTGACTCTGCACCAGGATGCACAGCGACCCTGTCCCCACCCGGCAGCCCCTGGAGTGTGAGAAGGGAGGCAGGGCCCCGGTACCCAAGCAGGCTGGGGGAGGCTGGCTCCGTCCGTGTCCAGGCTGGGCACTGTCACGTGTGTTCCCCTTGGGAATGGGTCGCCCTTTCTGTCTCCTCTGACCCATGACCCCCCAAGCTTGCACAGTGGCCCATGTGATTCCATGCTGGTCCTGTTTCCTTTCCTGTAACACGGGGATGGGACTACAGGCCTTATGGAGAGACCCTGGGCACTGGACAAGCAAACGTGTGTTTAGCGCTGGCCTATGGTGAGGACTGTCCCCCACTGTCACAGTCAGCACTTCCCATGGCCGGTGCCCAGCCCTTGGGTGTGAGCTGGAGCCCCTGGAGAAGTGTGTTCCCCCTTCCCTCCCTCCCGAGCCAGCGGCCCTGTGCAGGGCTGAGCGAGGGCCTGGTCCCATGCCCTGGGAGCAGTTATGAGTGGAGTCGTCTGGGTGGGTCTCCGTCCACGCTGCTGCCCCCTGCAGTGGCCCCTCTGCCATTGCCTCGTTCCTGATCTGTCCTGCACACGGGCTCCACGCTGCTGTCCGCATGCACTCCAGCAAGGGCTGATCGACCGCTGTGAGGGCAGCTGGAGCCCAGCACAAGGCCGAGGCTGGAGGGGCAGCGCTGGCACCGCGTTCTGTTGCCAGTTACATAAGCAGGTTCATGTGAACCGCTTGGTGTCCCAGGGACGCCTTGTATAATCACCCTGGGAACCCAAGGGTGATCCTGGGCCCTTGGTGGTGTGTGTTTGAGCCCCAGGAAGGGTGGGTAGGATTAGATGGACCTAGCAGGGCAGGTGGAACACGTGGCGGTAACGAACCCTGCTCGCCCCGGGAACAAAGGGGACCTGAAGCAGCTTCATATTTTCCTTTTGGTTCCAGACACTGGAACATTCTGTCCTGCCTCAGCAGAGACCCAGCAGAGGATGCACCTGGGCTGGGTTTAATCCTCAGATTGGCCTCTACAAAAGAAAGGGGTGGGAGAGGAGGGAGCCCCACTTCGCCCTGCCCCTGGGCGGGCCGGAGTGCAGATCAGGTGACCACTCCCTGAAAGTTTCATGCTGGCCTGGAAATGCTATCCTGCTGTCCCTGGCCTATCTGCAGGCCGGTGGGAGGGCTGGGGGAGGGGGGAGGGAGGGCAGGAGGGCAGGGGCCAGGCCAGGAGCCCTGCTGGGGCGCGGCCTCAGCCCTTCCCCCTGCCCGCCCTTCCCCCTGCCCCGGTGGTCCCTGAGCTAGGCAGGGGTGGCCACAGGCTGCCCGAGCCGTCCAGCTAGAATCCTTCACTGCTCAATCCTTTGTTCACACCAGCACCCCTGGGTGCCGGCGCCCCAGCCATCAGCGGAGGCAAGCACAGGCCTTGAGGCCCACCACGTGGCTGTGCCTGTTAGATGGGACAGCAGATACAGGATGCCTGGCATCTGTGGCAGCCACAGTTGTCATTGTACAGAGAGCAGGGTCCAGGGAGGATGTGGCCTAGCACATGCCAGAGGGAGGAGCTGCCCCCCGCAACTTCGCCTCTCCCTGCTCCCCTGCCTGGCCTGCTGGAGGCAGTGGGCGTGAATAGGGGGATTGGGTTCTAATCCTGTCCTGATTCTTACTAGTTCCGGGTATCAGGTCCTCTTGCTACCTGAGCCCATTTGTTCTGCCTGCCCAAGATTAAAGGCAGGTGCACGAGTAATAGCTCTGTCAGCTGGGGAAGGGGTCGGGGCCAGGGGGAAACAGCATATGACGGAGGTCCCTCGAGTCCATTGGGAGCCTAGACGGGGGCCCCAGGTGGAGGAGCCTGCCCTGGAGGACTGGCCATGGGGATGGGGCAGGGAGGGATGAGGTGGGGCTGGCTTTTGCAGGCCCTGGTCTTTGTGGGTCTTGTGGTCTTTGTGGGCCTTGGGGCTGGTTCAGCCACTGCCAGAGCACAACAGGGAGCCGTGCTCCCTTTTCTGTGTGCCCTGTGGACACATAACTGTGTGGCTCTGTGTAAGTTTCTTTCCTTTTTAAAGATTTATTTATTTGAAAGGCAGAATAACAGAGAGGGAGAGACAGAGATCTTCTATCCTCTGGTTCATTCCTCAAATAGCCACAGTGGCTGGGACTGGGCCAGACTGAAGCCAGGAGCTTCTTCCAGGTCTCCCATGTGGTTGCAGGGGCCCAAGCACTTGGGCCATCTTCTGCTGCCTTAGCAGGGAGCTGGATCAGAAGTGGAGCAGCTGGGACTCGAACTGTCGCTCATATGGGATGCCAGCATTGCAGGTGATGGCTTAACCACACCCAGCATGAGGCATGGGCTCAGCAGAGGAGATAGGAGCTCCCTTTCCCAGTGGGGCCTAGGTGTAGCCCATGGACCCAAGGCCATGGGCGCTGGCGATGCCAGCCCGAGAAACCCTTCAGTGAGTTTTCCCTGGGGTGGAGACGGGGGGCAGGTGTGGAAGGCTCCGGGCCCCCACTTCAGCTGCAGCAGTCCCACTCGCATCTGCCCATCTGAGGTAGGTGCGTCCAGTTAGGAAGCCGAGGCCCCTTTGCCGGCTCTGGTGAGGAGCGGGAGCAGGGATGGAAGGCGTTCCAGGAGGTCAGGCTGGCCGGCGCCTTCCGGGGTGGGGTCAGGCCCGTCTGGGACACTCAGCCCTCACCCCTGGCTCCTTTTCCAGCCCCGACCATGCTGTGGCCCCTGCTGCTGCCCCTGCTGCTATCGCTGGCCGCGAGCAGAGCCCAGACGAGCCGGCCATGCTTCCCTGGCTGCCAGTGTGAGGTGGAAACCTTCGGCCTCTTCGACAGCTTCAGCCTGACGCGTGTGGACTGCAGCGGCCTGGGCCCGCACATCGTGCCTGTGCCCATCCCTCTGGACACGACCCACCTGGACCTGTCCTCCAACCGCCTGGAGACGGTGAACGAGTCGGTGCTGGCTGGGCCGGGCTACACGACGCTGGCTGGCCTGGATCTCAGCCACAACCTGCTCACCAGCCTCCCGCCCACTGCCTTCTCCCGCCTGCGCTACCTGGAGTCGCTGGACCTCAGCCACAACGGCCTGGCAGCCCTACCGGCCAACGCCTTCACCAGCTCACCGCTGAGCGAGGTGAACCTCAGCCACAACCGGCTGCGGGAGGTCTCCATGTCAGCCTTCACCACCCACAGCCAAGGCCGCGCACTGCACCTGGACCTCTCCCACAACCTCCTGCACCGCCTGCTGCCCCACGCCACCCGGGCCGGCCTGCCCGTGCCTACCGTACAGAGCCTCAACCTGGCCTGGAACCGGCTCCGCGCGGTGCCCGACCTCCACGACCTGCCTTTGCGCTACCTGAACCTGGACGGTAACCCCTTGGCTGCCATCGGCCCTGGCGCCTTCGCGGGGCTGACGGGCCTCACCCACCTGTCGCTGGCCAGCCTGCAGGGCATCCCCCAGCTGGTGCCCCATGGTTTCCAGGAGCTGTCGGGCCTCCAGGTGCTGGACCTGTCCGGCAACCCCAATCTCAAGTGGACGGGCGCCGAGGCGTTCACAGGCCTGGGCTCGCTGCAGGAGCTGCACCTGTCGGGGTCGGGCCTGGCGCCGCTGCCGGAGCTGCTGCTGCGCCACCTGCCGGCGCTGCAGAGCGTCAGCGTGGGCAGGGACGTGCAGTGTCGGCGCCTGGTGCGGGAGGGCGCCTACCCCCGGCAGCCTGGCTCCAGCCCCAAGGTGACCCTACACTGCACAGACGCCCAGGAGGTCGCGGCCAGGGGCCCTGACATCTTGTGACGAACGGCGTGGCCCAGGGCCACGGGACAGACTGCTACCCAGGGCCTGCTCAGGTCTTGAGTAACTTAGATTCCAACGTGCCAGTGTGACGGGGGAGGCTGCGGCCTCACCGTGGAGCCGCGGGCCTGCGGGAGGGGCTCTGCTGCACCCGGCCCCTGTGTCCCTGTTGTCCCGAACCACGAGCAGAGGGACTTCGATGCCAAACTGGACTCCATCTCTTCCTGCTGCCCTTGCCGCCTTGTTCCCCAAGTGCCTTCCCTCGTGCCCCGCCCCACGTGACCATGACAGGAGGAGGGTGGGCGGGACCAGCGCTGCAGGCCAGGTCTCAGATCCCCCTGGGCCGGAGGTCTCTCCCAGCCTAGTCCCATCTTAGCTCTGGGCCGTGAGGTCCAGCTCATCCTATTCCCTTCTCCCGAAGCCCTGGGTAGCACCTTACCTGTGGGGGCCACTGGAAAGGATGGCAGGTCCCCTGTCATCACAGCGCAGAGCGGAAACCCAAGGTCCCACGGGGGCAGACTCCTGGCTGGAACCTGCCTCCTGCTTCTCAGCCCCAGGCCCTCTGTGACTCCTGGCTTCTCCACGTCGTCCCCTCCCCGGGTTCCCCCTTGCTGTCATTCGTGCCCTTTGCCTGTCGTCACCAGCGGCAGTGACAGCAGGGCCCTCAGAGGGGCGTCTCAGCCCGGGGACCCACTATGTGGCATGGGCAAAGCCAGTTCACCTTTCAGAGCCCCTGGGAGTGTGGGGCTCACCAGTCCCAGCCCTGTCAGCTCCTCACTCCAGACGGGAACTGCCCCACCCCCCAGATGCTCCCCCGAGGAGCTGAGCTAGCAGAGGCCAGCTGGACCCAGTTCCCCTGGGGCCTCTCCCCCACCCCTGTGCACACCCACACCCAGGGCGGCATCTCAGCTCCCCAGCCCTGGGCACTGTCCTTCCTCCTCGTTTTATAAGCATCGTTCCCTTTTTAATGACCGTCCCTTCCAACCGCTACTCCCCTCCCCCGCTGGCAGGGGACGGGAAGGTGTGATTTGTAAAAGAAGAAAGTTGGTATTTGTTCACTTTTGTAACGGTGGGTCCTGGGCGTGTGCTGGGGTGTTGGGCAGAGGCCAGCCTTTAGCGGCTGCGGGAGCACCAGGGCTGGTCCCAGTCAATGCCCATGAGGCCGCAAGAGCTGTGTCTTCCTCCACCAGCCCAGCCCAGCGCGCGACCGGTCCTTGGTTTAATAAACACTATATAAAGAGCTCTTTCCATTACTCGGCGGCAGCCACTGAGCCTCCCCGGGCCGGGCCCTGGGGCCAACAAGAACGGAGCCGGGTGGGCCCTGACCTGGGCAGCTTGTTTTTCCTGAAAAGCCTCCCAATCTGGCGGGACTGTGGGCGTCAGGTCGGGAGGGAGCTACCCCAGGGAGTAGCGTGGCCACCTTGCTCCATCTCCCTCTCCCTGCTGCCCAGCTCCACCCCGGCCATCCAGCCGTAGCCGTGAACTTGCTGCTGTTTGGACCCTCACTGTGGGCCCTGGTCCTGGCCCCGATCCCTGCCCCTGGACTGTGTGGTGCCCCAGGTCATGTTGGCACACTTCTGGTGACGGTGACGGCTGTCCCAGCTTGTGTGGACACCTTCGCTGTCACAAAGTGCTCCCTCTGGCCCAGGTCTACGAGCATGTCCCTCGGGAGCGCCTCCTGCTGCCCACTGAGCCCCGGACCCTGTGCTGGACAGGGAGTTGAGTGGAGATGCGTCTAGGTTGGGAGAGGGAAGCACTGAGTGGCCCTGTGGTGGAGGGAGGAGGCCTGAAGGGAGGGCTCAGCAGTACAGAGCCCAGCATTCAGGTCACAAGCATGGGGGGTGGAGCTTGCCACCTTGTCAGTCAGGCCTCCCCAGGTGCCCACTGGTCAGTGTAGGAAAAGCTGAGACCTGGGGTGGGGGAGGTGTCAGGGGAGCCCCGAGACCCTCAGTCGCCAATACATAAATGTAGGGGTTGGGAGGGGTCGGGGACACTTAGCACCAAGTGGATCAGGGTTCCCAAAAGCTCCGTTGTGGAGGAGCCCTTGGGAGAAGGCCAGAGGGCAAAGGGTCTTTTTAAAAAGGATGACTTGGGCCGGCGCTGCAGCTCACTAGGCTAATCCTCCGCCTTGTGGCGCTGGCACACCGGGTTCTAGTCCTGGTTGGGGCGCCGGATTCTGTCCCGGTTGCCCCTCTTCCAGGCCAGCTCTCTGCTGTGGCCCAGGAGTGCAGTGGAGGATGGCCCAAGTGCTTGGGCCCTGCACCCCATGGGAGACCAGGATAAGTACCTGGCTCCTGGCTTTGGATCAGCGCAGTGCGCCGGCCGCGGCAGCCATTGGTGGGTGAACCAACGGCAAAGGAAGACCTTTCTCTCTGTCTCTCTCTCTCACTGTCCACTCTGCCTATCAAAAAAAAAAAAAAAAAGGATGACTTATTTTATTTGAAAGGCAGAGTTAAGAAAGGGAGAGAGATCTTCCATCTGTTGGTTCTCTCCCTAAATGGCTACAACAGCCAGGGCTGTGCCAGACCGAAGCCAGGAGCTTTTTCTGGATCTCCCACAGGGGTGCAGGAGTCCAAGGACTTGGGCCGTCTTCTGCTTTCCCAGGCACATTAGTAGGAAGATGGATCAGAATGGAACAGCTGGGGCTGGTGCTGTGGCGCACTGTATTAAAGCCACACCACAGTGCTGGCATCCCATATGGGTGCCAGTTCGAGTCCCCGCTGCTCCACTTCTGATCCAGCTCTCTGCTGTGGCCTGGGAAAGCAGAAGAAGATGGCCCAAGTCCTTGGGCCCCTGAACCCACATGGGAGACCCGGAAGAAAGCTCCTGGCTCCTGGCTATTGCAGTCATTTGGGGAGTGAATCAGCAGATGGAAGACTTCTCTCTCTCTGGCTCTACCTCCCCCTATAACTCTTTCAAATAAATAAATTAAAAAAAAAAAAAAGGTGGAACAGCCAAGACTTGAACCAGCGCACATATGAGATGCTGGCATCACAGATGGCGGCTTAACCTGCTGTGCCATGACACCAGTCCGAAACAAGAGGCCTGGAAGATGGGACAAAGCTTGAGCAGCCAAGAAGGCTGCAGGGAGCTTGCGCGAGAGCCATCGCCTTGGCCAGGAGTTGTGATTCCTTCATCGGTAAACTGGGCGGGGTGCGGCTCCTGGGGGAGGGGGAGCTGCCATCACACCGTGTCATCCTTCCCTGGGGGGCATTGCTTACTCCAGCCCTGGCCTTGGGCAGTGTCTTCCAGAGAGCCAGGCTCTGCAGGGTGGTGGGCTTGGCGGTACCAGAGTATAGGCCCTTCCCAGAGCAGCACCCAGCCCATAGCACCACCTAGTGGTCACGTGCTGGGACACCTGCTCTCCCACAGCCCAGTTACTGGCCAGTCTTCATTCCCCACCAGTCAGACCACCTTCATTCCACGTAGTCTGCCCTCCAGGAATTCCGGCACCCGGAACGAGGGCATTAGAATCTTTTTTTTTTTTTTTTTTTTTTTTGACAGGCAGAGTGGACAGTGAGAGAGAGAGACAGAGAGAAAGGTCTTCCTTTTCCGTTGATTCACCCCTCAATGGCCGCCACTGCTGGCGCGTCGCGCTGATCCGAAGCCAGGAGCCAGGTGCTTATCCTGGTCTCCCATGGGGTGCAGGGCCCAAACACTTGGGCCATCCTCCACTGCACTCCTGGGCCACAGCAGAGAGCTGGCCTGGAAGAGGGGCAACCAGGACAGAATCCGGCACCCCGACCAGGACTAGAACCCGGTGTGCCGGCGCCGCAAGGTGGAGGATTAGCCTACTGAGCCGCGGCGCCGGCCGAGGGCATTAGAATCTTACCAAACCCCAGAGATTAGTGCAAAGATTCCATTTTGGGGTTCACAGAAAATGGGCCCTCCCTAAAGCAGTTGTGTGACCTGGGCACAGGTGTGACTCATCTGACTTCGTAGAGCCTGGAGAGTAGGGGTGAGAATGTCCCCCTGAGTGGGACTGAGCGGCCAGGACAGGAAATGCGGCGGTGGACAGGTGAGGCCAGGCTGCATGGCGTAGGCGCCTGGCCACTCTTCGCGCCGTGCCTGCCCGTGCATTGGGAAGGTTATAGAGCCAGTCCCCCTGGAACCCTGTCTCAGTAATTTCCTCAGAGCTGAAAAGTTTTGTCCACTCATAGGATTACAGACTGGCAGAGCAGTACCCTTTTTTTTTTTTTTTTTACTTGATTCCTTAGTTACTTTATTTATTTGAAAGGCAGAGTTACAGACAAAAGGGGTGATGTCGGGGGAGATCTTCTATCAGATGGTTCACTCCCCAGATGGCTGCAACAGCCAGGGCTGGGCCAGGCCAAAGCCAGGAGCTTCATCCAAGTTTCCCACACAAGTGCAGGGGCCCAAGCACTCAAGCCATCTTCTGCTGCTTTCCCAGACCATTAGCAGGGAGCTGGATCAGAAGTGGAGCAGCCGGGAATTGAACCAGCGTCCATTTGGGATGCTGGCATCGCTGGCGGTGGCTTTACCTGCTGCACCACAGGGCCAGCCCCAGAGCAGTACCCTTGAGTCCGCGGAACCTTGGCGGCTCCGTGTGAGACGAGCTTCAGAGATGAGGGAAACGGAGGCAGCACAGCCAGGGAGGGCCGCTGCCCACGCAGCTGCTGTGCACTGGGCTGCGTGCCTTGCCCGGCCCATGGTCTCACAGTGGTACCTGCTCTTTGTCACCATACTGGTGAGGAAAGCCCCAGGTCTGGCTTCGTCTGTCGGTTGGGAATTCCCCCAGTCTCGCCTGCCCCTCCGGGGGGCTGGGCCAGCTGTGCAGACCCCACGGCTCAGGGAAGAGGTGCTCCGAGAAAGCAAACAGCGCTGGGACTCCGTGTGTTTTCCAGTTGCAGCTGCATCTCCAGGGGGCCGCTGATGGCAGATCCAAGAGCATACACAGCCAAGGTCACGGTGCGCTGCTTCCGCTCCCGGCCCCTTTTCACAAATGGGCAGACTGAGGCCTGGGAGGGGGCAGCCCGAGGGCCCCATGGCAAGGAACCAGGATTCTGTGCTTCAGGGCTGGGTAATTTGTGGAACGTAGGGGAAAATGAACAAGGGGACTTCTTGTTCAAAGATCGTGAAGAAGCTCAAGGCGATACGACCAGGGTGTCAGACAAAACCCCAGGTCCTCCCGGGGTCCCTCTGCCTGTGAAGCCAGCGCTGTTTTACCCTGATCGTCCCCTGACCGAGACAGACGGGACAGCGTCCATTGGTGCCGGGCAGCACGGCAGAGGAGAGCGTGGGGTTGGATAACCTGGTCCCTTGGTAGTGCCAGGAGCTGGTGAGACTTCCAAGTGCGGGAAATTCTCTCCCCTCTGTTACCATGCCATGTCGTGGCTTCCCCCAGCTGTCGCGGCCAAGGGGCTTTTGGAATGAAAGGGCAGACGGAAAGGCAGGTACTGTCACCGAAATGCCAGCAAACCAGCTCACACAGGGGGTGTTTCCCCGGACAAGACTGTGGGGCCGCTTTGTGGGGGCAGTGCCTATGACAACAGGTCACTGAAGGCCACTGTAACCCCGCCCCACGACGTTCAGTGCTCCTTGTTGGCTCCTGTTCACCAGGACACAAATGGCTGCTGCTGCTCAATGGCAGCTCCCACCGAGGGTCAGAGTGCACGAGGGGAAAGGGCCCCACGCCCCATGGTAGCCACGTCAGCCGCACGCCGGCGCCCCCTGGTGGTGACCACAGGTGCTCTGTGCTCAGCAGCACAGTTCCCTGAGATGGACCCAGTGAGTGGTTTATTTCAGCTCGCGGTTTTGGAGGTGAAGACCAAGCTCAGGTGGCCCCCACTGGTCAGCTGTCTGGTGCCGCAGTGGCAGAACACGTGTGGAGGGAGATCACGTGGCCAGGGAGGAAGCAAAGAAAAGGTGGGGCCCAAGTTGGCTTGTAGAACACGCCCCTCGCACCTCTCCCACCACCCAGGGACCTCCCACGAGGCCCACCTCCTAAACACCGCCAGTAGAGGAAGTTCCGCCCTCTTAGGACCCTGAACTTGGCTCTTGGGGTTCGGAGGCCCGCTTGGGCTCAGGAGCCGCATCCCAGTGAAACCGCAGCCTGCTCTGTGCACCTGATGCACCTGCTCTGTGCACCTGCTCTGAGCAGTGTCTGTAGCTGGACGACTGGCAGCAGCACGTGTCCACCAGGGAAGTCCCCGCCTTGTGTCCATTCTTCTCTTGTTTATTTCCCATCTTGTATTTATTTAAATACTAGTGGCTGTGTTT